TAATAAGACATTGAAAAACACAATAAAGCGTTAGCACCGTGACATCGGTTTAAAAAAAAAAAAAAAAAAAAAAAAAAAAAAAAAAAAGTAGAGAATAATGATAATTATTTTTATATATAGACATGTGATAATTTTTTTTTGTATAACATATATAAAATCAAACATCTAAACGTAGATCTAGAATTTTCCATAGTAATTAATACTACTTTTACCTTTACTTTTTTCTTTAAGTTCTTTACTTTATTATTTTTTTATTTTAACTAATTTTTACTATTTTGTACAAATAAAATTGCATCTTTTGTTATCCCTTCTATGATTAAATTATATGTTAAATAAGCCATATTAGCCCTTTTGTTTAATAAAATAGCCTGTTTTACTAAGCTACAACAAACCAGATCAGCCAATGCTAATTCAGCCAACCTTCTTGTATTTAGTTTTTTTGGCTTTCTACAGGTATAAAAATTTAACACATTTAATTTTTTACTTTGAAATTGAGCATTTTTTGAAAGACAAAAAACTTCTACAATATCTGAAAATACGATATTATTATTATTATTGCATAACACCAATATCACATTCAACATATCTAAAATTTTTATTTTTACATTATCTAGTTTTGTACTATCATCTTTATGCTTTTGACAATAGTCACACAAATTACAAGTTGGTGAAATTGGATCCTTAGGCTATTAGTAGTATTTTAATATTTGCTAAAATTGGTATTTATAAGAGATAAGACAATAATATATTACTTCAAACAATTGAAATTGTGCTTTGCTCAGATAAAGCTTTCAAGTAGTAGTTTGCTTATCATTATCTTTATTGTCTTCATTTATTCTATTGTCAGCAATGATAGTATAGTTGGTGTGAATATCCTTCTTTGTATAAAGAATTATATATTTAGATTTAGTATCAAGGTTTTGGTCCCATCCGGCTTAACCTGAATTTTGAATAAGGTTAGCTATGAGGTAAAGATTTTAATTATTATCCTTTTTATAAAAATAATAGTTATTATAATAAGTTACTTATACTCATCAAGAAATTATAATGTATTATTAAACAGACATTAGATATATCTATATTCAATCTGAAGGCCGATATTGCAATCATGTATGTATTTGCTTTTGATTTTACTTTTTTATCACTTTTTTTTTTAGTTTCTGTTAATTGCCTATAATAAATACTTAATATTTCTTTTTCCATTTTGAGATTTAGTGCTTCATGTATTTTTAAGCAATCTTTAACTCATGTATAGTAGAGTTAGCCAAATCTTTAGTTTATAGTCAAAATTTTGTTTTGTACGAATTTTCCGGTGATGTACCGGAAAGAGTTTTATTTTTTTTTTTTTTTCTCTTTAAATTTTTGCAACCAGCCATGTGAAAATTGTAATGTTTCTGGTGAAACTCCTAATCCTTTAGCAAAGGCTTTAGCTTTTTCAATTAGCATGAGATCACTCAAAATCATCTGGTGCTGATAGGTTAGTACAAATTTTTTAAGTGCAATCTCAACTTCTGGAACAGTAACAGATCTGTGTTGTTTGGCATCAGGATTAAGAACCTCAGTAGTTAGTCGTTTGTCACTAGTTTTTAAAATTCATGAAATGGTACTTTCATCAACCCTAATGCCCCATTGTTTTTCAATCCAGTCAACATATTTGGCTCGTGTCATTTTATTTTCTCAAGCATAAGTACAAAGCGCAACCTTTTGGTATCAGTTAATGCTACTTTTTCTTTTTTTGAAGATATGTTATATAAACAGATAAGTTGATGTTTATTTTTATAATTTAATGTGAAATTATATTTTTATTTTATGGTTTTGTAGTGATATTGATACAATTTTATAAGAAAATGGTTTCAAATATCAACCATTGGTAGTAAACTTAGCAGCGCATTATTTAATATATAACTTTTATTCCATTTTATACTAAATAGTAGTGATTGGGTGTCATTCTGCTATGTACAAATTTCTATCTAATGTTGTTGATTTTAGGTTATTTTGTAAAGATTATCTTCACAAAATCGTGAACTAACGTCATGCTTATGAATGTGCATGGATATGCATGTTTTCTCGTGCAAAACTCAGAGACATGCTACTTATAAAATTTATATTTTGATATCATGAAAGAGCTCTGTCTAATCGGCTAAAATAAATTAATTGCATTGGTAACTTATTTGACTCTTTTTTTTAAGAATATAATATTTTACTAAAATAGAGATTGCACAATTTCTTACCCAGGTATTATGAAATTACTTGGGTTTCCGGATAATTGTACTAAAAAAAAAAAAAAAATTTATTTCATAAGAATGTTATTATTTAATTTATAAAAGTTGGCCAAGGCTAGGTTACAAAAGAGCCTTCAGATATTAAATAGAATTTACAAGAGCAAATTCAAAGAAAAGCTAATCCGTTTTCTAGAAATAGAAACATAAACCCTTTATTAATTGTAAATATTTAGATAATTTATGTAATTATAGATTTTAATAAAGCACGCCATTTCGCGTTTTTTTTTAAAAAAAAAAAAAAAAAAAAAAAAAAAAAAAATTTATAAAAGTTAAAAGCTTCAATTAAAATAAATTGATTTTATTATTTATTACTATCGCTAGCTATAAATGTAATGTTTAATTAATAGTAGGTTAAGGTCATAATGCGTCTGTGATAAAGATATCAGTTGCAAAAAAATAGATAAAATTGTTGCGCAAAATGTTGTACCTAAAGCTTCGCAGATAATTTGCTACTTATTTGTATGTTGAATTTCACATGGAGTATGCTGTTTCAATTTAGTGCTCGAAAAGTACCACACGCACGTGATATGTTGGAATGAATCTGGCTACATGTACCAGAATTGAATTTATTTAAAGAATGCATATTCAATAACTTCATGTCTTAAATTCATGTTTTAAAAGAGCATACATCAGTTGCTATTGATGTACAGTATACATAATTGAAATGGGATATGTACCCAGAAATAGCAATCGAGATTGCGCCGGGTATCCCATAGGCAGCAGAAGCAGTGTGGCGTAGCTTTGGCCAGTGGTTTCTTGCCTGTGTTAAGCAGGCTGGCCGATAAAAGAACGTAAGCAGTTGCTACAAAAATGGCAGGATTCGAGCTCTTCCTGCTAAATATGTTTGCGGCATTGTTCATGCTCTTTTTTTTTTTTTTTTTTTTTTTTTTTTCTTTGCTGTGGGAGAGTGGGACAAGGTCGCAAATAGAATATTCACAGTGCAGTTAAACACTGGTTGCACAAACATGTTTGCATCGTTATATATGCTGCTATACTTAGCTATACTCGGTTAAATCTTGCTTCGGGTTCAACAATTTTCTCATGGTTACCGAATTCGGAAGCTGATATAAAGTCATACCTAAACTTTGACTGCATTTCCTTGTGATGCTGATCTTCATCTCCTTTATTTTGGCATTCATATTGGTTGCTCATATCCAATCGGTGCCTGACCTTTTCTGTGCTTGGCGGTGTTCACATCACTGCTTAGCCGTCTTTTCGATCTGTTGACCATATGTCAACTTGAAAGAGTACAAATTTATTCTGCATTTGAATAATTAATATATGCCATAGATATGTATTTGGCACGCATAGAATGTGAAATATAACTAAAGAAACTGGATCTTAGTTGCAGGTTTATTGTGTATATCTTGTGCGTGCATTTATGGAAGGTTATCTCAATTATCTTGATATACTTGGGACTTTAAAATCTATTGCACGTGCAGAATATAGAGGGTGTGCATTTAGCTCTAAGTTCCGAGCTTGGGACCAGGCTATAGCATGCATTTAGAGAGGGTGTGCATTTAAGAAGGGTGCATTTAGAGAGGTTTAACTGTATTTCGAATTATTTCAAATTAATTCAAATGTAATATTTTGTAATATATTTTAAAATATTGCAAAATTTTTTACACAATATCCTGTAAATGCTATATTTTACAACATTTTAAAATATTTTATGTAATATTATGGTGTTTTTATGGTATGTAAATTATTTTGCAATATTACACTCTATTTAATTTGCTAATATAGCCAGAAAGAAATTTTCTGTTAAAGCATAGCTTTATAGTAGAAATATACAAATGTTGCATTTGGTATATAATTTTTTAAGCCTAGTACAGATTATAATAGTGCTACTTAAATTGTGTTTGTTTCTTTTTCTTTTATATTTTTTTTATCTTTTTCTAGTTATAATAAAATAGAGTTTAGATTCTGCTTTCTTTTTTTTTTTTTTTTTTATCTTTTGTTTTTTTTCTTTCTTTTGTTTTTCTTTTCTTTTTCTTCTTTTTTTCTAAACTAGCTTCAAGCTTTTTAAATTTCTTTTGTAATTGTAGCTAGTGAGTTCTTTTCTTGAATAAAAGTAAGAGTTTTACTTTTCTACTCAAATCTAGATAAAAAAAATTGTAAAAGAAGGAAGATGCAATTATGATTAGCTACAAGGTCTAGTCAGTGAACCTTTTAGCAAGTAACTCTAATACAGGGGAGAGACAAACTTTTGTTTTAGCAGATTATGGATAAGTACTCACAGTAACCAAATGAGTTGTATTTTAGTTATAAAGTATCCAATACCAGAGATAGTAATAGTATTTTTTTTTTTTTTAATATTAAGGTGACTACTTAGGTTCCTGGCATGTAGCTTTATTCAGATAATTACAATATTACATCAATTTCATGAAGATACAACTAGTCACACGTGTACTTTTGGTACCTAATTTAAGTAGTCCGTCTGGGTTCTATACTAGCCGCCATACCTGCAACCTAACTAGGAGATTACCTATTTAAGCTCTCTGATTATTTAACTAATGAGAGTATGACTAGCCATATATACAACTTTTGGTTACCTATTTAAGTAGTCTGCCCTAGATTCCACACTAGCTGCCATACCTGCACCCAACTATAGAGGATACTCATTTAAATTCTCTGGCTCCATTTCTGTAACACGCTTACCCTAACACTCTTAATGAGATTAACAAGTGCCGTTCCCACAATAAGTAATAAGCTCTGGGCCTATTAGCAGGTAGCATATGAGAACTATTTCTAAATAACAGATGCCGGTTTATAGTTTTGACCAGTTTTATTTTTTTCTTTTCTACTATAGTTTACTGTTTTTTTGAAAAAAAAGTTTGTTGTGATTTTAGTATAAGAGATCGTCAGGAAGAGTTTTTCACTAAATATTATAATTTTGGATTATTATTTTTTATTAATTTACCAAAGTTGATTTAAATACTAGTTTCTGAGTATTTTTACTTTCTTTTTTTTTTTTTTTTCTTTTATACATGTTCAGATTCTATATTAAACTGATCTAAAAAACCTAAAATTTCTATTTTCTAATTGGCTATTTCTTTTTTAGAAATTTGTATTACTTGTACAAATAAATGGCTGCCTATATGGATATGCCCAAAGCTCTGTTGGGTCTTGATATGTACATATCTTTATGCTTTAGCCTCTTTTTAATAAATAATTCTACATAGTATCAGAGGTGTTCCAAATCTAATAAGGCTAATTCTTTACTACAGATCTTTTTGTATTTACTACTTTTCTTACTACTCCAATTCTAGTTACCATCTAATTATCCTCCTAGACAAGATCTTAATATTTACTTAGAGTTGTTGATGCTATCTATACCAATTAAGAATTTATATATACAACTACTATGTAATAGAATCTTTTGTAACAACTGTAGTTACATATAGTACTAGCTATTTCACAATAAACCTCCTTCTAAAAATTTCTAATCCAAACTTGTACTCACTTAAACTTCCTATAGTAAGTATATTCAAATATTTATAGAATTTGTATCTACTAGAACTTGAACCCAAAACCTGCTTGTAAAGGGTTAGGTACCTAGACTACTAGACTATAAAATCTCAACCTCTCTTATATAGAGTTTTAAAAGATATATACTATATAAAAACCTCATCTTTTTGCCCAAGACAGGATAGGTTCTGCCAGGTTTTAACTTGTATTTTTTTAAATCTTTTTTTTATTAATAAATAAATATTATACTCTTAACTATATACTCACTACTATGTATATACTCTTTTTATTGAGTTTTTATAGTGTTTTTATAGTGTTTTTATTGAGTTTTTATTTTATTTTTATTGTATTTTTCTAAGTATTCTTTCTTATTTCCTATATCCTATATCTTATATCTTGAGTTATTTTAAGCTTATTTTTTTTGAGTTATATTTAAGTTTTCTTTGAGTTTTATTTAAATTTTATCTTTTGTACTATATATATATATCTTTACTCTCTTTATATTAAGTTAAATAGTATAGTTAACAAGGCCAGTTATTTATACTACAATATAATAAATAAATTATTGTAATTTTTATATATTGCTAAAAATATTCTTTAAAGAATTCACTATTCTAGTAAGGCATAGTATGTAGATAAGTTGAATTAATTCATATCAAAATTATTATATATAACTTCTACTATAAGCTATAGTAAAACATACTATTCTAATAACAATAATTTATAATAAAATTTGAATTAATTAGTTTTTTTTTCAGTATTAAAGTTAATCTTTTTAGCTATATCTTTTATTATTAGAAATATTATTTCAGATTATAATAAGAATATATCTAGCTACTCATATAACTTTTAATTATCTATTTAAGTAGTTTGTCTATTTGGTTCTATACTAGCTACTATATCTATAACCTAACT